GATTATAATGGAAGACTAACATATTCTTACAATCTTTGACAGATCACTTAGGTACAAGAAAACTTTAAAATAGATTTGAACAATATGATCAATAAACATGTATTAATCCATACAGCTGAACATTGTACTCCACAGAGAATTAGACTTTTCTTTTCTCCTCATTTCATAACATTGGCTAACCTTTCATGTGTAGTTTATCTTGCTGAAGACAGAGGCAGGTTTTGGTATTACTGCCTTAAAATTCTTTCAGGCTAAAACTATGGTAGTAAAGGTATATGGAGTCAATTATTGGGGCTGCAATTTCTCTTCTAGAGATTCAAAATTCTATCCCAAGAATCATGGGTCTGTCCTTGTACACAGTTTAAAATGCCTAAACTGCTTAGAAATCCCTTTTGAAAGAAAAAGTTTTCTCATGGGCCCAGGGTTGATCCAAGTCACTTTTACTAAAATGTAACTTAAATATTATACTCATAAAGGCCACTTCTGAACACCTATACTTTATAGCTTTTTTTTTAAATCATCACCCAAGGATACTTTTTCCATTGCTTTTCAGAGAGAGTAAAAGGGAGAGAGAGAGAGAAAAACATCGATGTGAGCGTACATTGACTGGTTGCTTCCTGCACACACTCCGATTGGGGCCAGGGATCGAGCCTGCAACCAAGGTTCATGCCCTTGGTCGGAATGGAACCTGGGACCCTTCAGTCCTTGGGCCAATGCTCTAACCATTGAGGAAACCAGCTAGGGCAACTTTATAGCTTTTACATAGCTAAAATGGCAAAACAAAGATGCAAGTAAATACAACTATCAAACTTTAAAATGTCAAATTAATAAAATAAATTCACTGCAACAGATAATATTGTTTTGCTGAAACTAAAACACCATTTTGGGTTTAGCAATAGAAGGATGTAGTCTCAGGTCTAGTACTGTATATTATCATTTTCTGAATTTTGATTTCAACAATCCAAATGCAGACAACCCATAAAGCATGCCGTGCAAAACAATATTAATAACATCACAATGTGTCTGATTTAAGAGTATACTATCAAAACAATCCTGGAGTGCCTACGTAAATGAGGTGCCATTTCATACCAATAAAAATAGTAATACTCTCTAACATTTATTCAACCTTACTATACGCTCCAAGTGTTTCACATGTAATACCTCTAATCCTCACAATATCACTATGAAATCAATACCACATATTTATCCACATATTATCATAAGAAGAAACTGAGGAACAGAGAGGCCGACTAACTCACCCAAAGTCTCACAGCTAGTAAGTAGAAAAGTGGGTTTGAAGTCAGGCAGTCTGGCTCCCCTTAACCATTGCACCCAATTAACTATGTCCTTGCTTTGGATTATCGGAGAGTTACTAACTTGCATTAAACAGGGATCTAATCCAATTAGTGCTAAAACCAGCAATAGCAACTTTTTCATTGCATTTTTACTACAACACCTGCTGCTAATAAATTGCTGAGACTCAGTCCATATGCTGGTAGGTCTGGCATGAGAGCTATATTCCTTGCCAATGCAGCACTGGTCGCCAGGAGCAAGCCTGTGCCCTATGTGGACTCACCTCTCTCTCCACATGCTCCTGTTTCAATTCCCCTCCCCTCATCCACGCTGTGACCCGAGCACCAGGCCCACCCCTGGCTTACACGGGAAGATACAGAGGGTTAGGCCCTGCATTGGTTTGGGGCTGGCCGTCAACATGAACACATTTTTGCTATTCATTACTTAAGACTATCATTGAAATGAAACCACTAATTTTAAAATATATCTTTACTGATTTCAGAGAGAGGAAAGGAGAGGGAGAGAGAGAGATAGAAACATCAATGATGAGAAAGTCATTGATCGGCTGCCTCCTGCATGCCCCTGACTAGGGTTCGTGCCTGCAACCTGGGCATGTGCCCTGACCAGGAATCGAACCCTAATCGCCTGGATCCTAGGTTGTTGTTCAACCGCTGAGCCACTAATTTTAAAGACACAGATCCCTCAAAAGACATATATCCTTAGAACCCCAGGGGTCTGAGAGACCTGTACATCATGTGATATCATGAGCTTATATAGAAGGACACTATAAAAAACAGCTGAAGGCAACCCAACCTTGTGTCTGACAAGGACATGATTGAAGACATCACTCCAAACACAGTATTATATTTGAAAAAAATTTCTTTCTAATCTTAGAGTCAAGAATTGATGGAAGGAGACTTGACTTGGGTTGGTGAACACATAATACAGTGTACAGAGGATGTGTTGTAGAATTGTGCACCTGAAACCTGTATAATTTCATTAACCAGTGTTACCCCAATAAAAAAATATATATATTGTGTTTCCCTTAAGAAGTTTATATTTTGTGTTTTTATGTTCTGGACATGTGATGTTTTGTGTTTGTGCTTTTCCTGCACAGTTCTTAACACAATTTGTAATTATATATTCATTGCAGAGATTTCTTCATGAATGTCTGTTTCTTGGGTTCACAGGACATGGCACATAGTAGGTCCTCACTGAATGTTTGTTGAGTGAACAGGTGAGTGAATGAGTCAACAAATAAATAAAAGATATGAGTCATGGGCTGGTCAATTACCCTTTATGCATGAGCTACTAGAAAGTTGAGAGCTGGATTTGTTTTCCCCTCATGAAAGGTGTAGAGGGTCTTATGCTTGTATGTTTGTATTAGTCTCATTCTTAATACTATTTTATGTCTCCTCCCTTACTTTCCTGTTTTCCTTTCCCATCTACTTCTTAGTCTGCCTTCTTAAAATTTATAAATTCCTGTAAACTGTTTTAAATCCCTGTGGAGGGAATAAATATATTTACTAGTCTTTTTTTCATATATTTAAAAACTTAACATTAAACTTTCTGCCAACAAACACATTTAATCACCTGAAACTCTTAAAAACAAATGAGGTTTGCTAATTCCAGCACTATACTAATATTTAGAGCAAATTCAGCCCAAGCCTAGAAACTACATGTTGTGTAGTGTGTTTGTGACAAGTACAGATCTAACAGGGCTAAGCAATTTGGTAGACAAGAAAAAGCACAGGACTTGCTACAGAAATGTTATGGATTTTGGATCAAAGAATGATTTATTGTTAGCGGTGCTCCAAAATGTATTGACCGCCTACTAATACTGAGAAGTTTGCTTTCACTGTACCCTATCGGGGTTGGGCGTCGGGCAAGATCCTGGTCCACAGGCATTGAGAAATGTCTGATCACGTTGTGGAATGAAGGTACAACATTATAAAGTGAACATATTAAATGGTCTAACCCCTTTTTAAAAATCTCTGAAATTTATTTTTCATATGCTAGTGGGCAGATGGCTTGCACGCCTGAAACTTCAGTTAACCTTCTCTGGTCCTATTCATTTAAAGCACTTTCACTTCAAATGATGACCAACTATTTTTCCCTTAAAATGAAATATCATTTTCAAATCCCACTCATGAGGACACCCCTTACTGCCCAAGTTAAATATCTCAGCTGGACCCACAGGCCAGCAGTGAAAGGACGGGAGTCTGCCCCCTCCAATCATCTGCTCCTCTCTTTTGAGGTTATTCACAAAACACAAAATGTTCATTTCAGAAACAGATTTGATTTCTGTTATTTATAAGGGCCGTTTGAGCCAGTTGAATTTTAGATGACAAACTGCAAAGAGGAGGGGAGAGTGGGTGTAAAGAAACAGACGGGTAATAATCATGTGTCACAGATAAATGACAATTTTTAAAAGAATTTGATAGGGTGTGGGCTGGGGTTCTTTTCTTTCTCTCC